GAGGTTGAGCGATACAAGATTGGGTTACACGTACCTGCTGCGCTGAAGATACCGCTACAGAGAGAGAGAGAGAGAGAGAGAGAGAGAGAGAGATGAGTGATACAAGTTTGGTTGTGACTTACCTGTGAAGTTGCTGCGCAGTCCACGAAGGTGAAGACAGCGGCCATAGCCGCGCAGCCTGTACCACGGAGTGACGAAGTAGGAGGGAGAAGGACAGAGGGGGAGAGACCGAGCAGGGAGAGAGCGGCCATAGCCAAGAGGTGAAGAGGAGGCCGAGCAGAAAAAAAAAAAAAAAAAAAACAGAGAAAGAGAAGAAGAAGACAGCGGGGTAAAGGAGGCAAGGAAGGTGAAGAAGAAGAAGAGGATTGGCGAGAAAGAAGAGCCGGCAGCCATAGCTGACCGGAGGGTTGACCAAGAGGGTTGACCGGAGGTGTTGACCGGCCGTTACCGGAGTTGACCGGGGGTCATAGCAGCATTGACCAGCGTTGACCAAGGACGTTGACCAAGGTGTTGACCAAGACTTTGACCAAGCTGGAGTTGGTAATATCTCGCCAAGCCTTCAGCCTACCCCTCGCCCTATGGATGTGCACACACCCCCCGGTACTTGCTGAGTCAAGTCCGTCTGTCTATTCTTTCTGCATCGAGTCTCTTCTGTCCTAGGTGCTAGAACTCTGTGGATGAAGGATAGGGCCTTGCTGCCAAACCTGCACGAGACTTAGTAGGACCAATCTCTACTCTGGTATCTGGAGACCTGGGCATGAGCGGCGAGCGCTCTTTAAACAACTCGTCTAGCCCAATGACCGGTACTGTCCGGCAGGTCTGCTCAGTTCCAGTGTAGAGGGTCCGAACTCTGAGCTGCAGGCTGAAACGGAGGCCGTCTTTAAGTGTTGAGGGCCTGTCGGAGGCCGTCTTTAAGTGTTGAGGGCCTGTTGGAACCACTCCCCTACCGGACCAAGTAAGGCTGAGGATCTGTGTCTGACGACTCGACTGTCCCGGAGGTCAAACCCTCCCAAGGACCGGTACAGACCGGCGGGCTGCTCGGTGTGGCACAGTAGGCCGGAAAGGCWGAGTTGCGGGCTGAAAGCACAGGCAGAACCAAGCTGATCACGCCGTCCTGTCTGCGACGTTAAAGAATTCTTGCGGAGTTACAGGGGATCTCCTTAAATGCCTCCTGATCAGCCACTGGTTCAGTAGTGACAGCCATAGTATAGGTCTAGGCTAGAGATCCTAGTTGGCAGGATCCCTGTCAGGATTCTGTGAGTCATTAGATTAAGTCAATAGGTCTGTCAGTCAGGGGTTAAAATCTACGTGGTGAGGAGTGGAATCATTCTGATTGGGCACCTATCACCATGGTTGAGACCCGTAGTGGGTTAGACATGAGCCCCTATAGCAAGGAGCAGCAAGAAAAGATGGCCGCCCTCATGAAAGAGAATAGAGAGAGAAAAGAGCGCGAGAAGCAAGCGAAGCTAAAGGCTATCGCAGACGAGCAGGCGGCGAAGATGAAGGAACTGGAGGAGGAGATGGAGAAGAAGAAGAAGGTTGCTGAAGAAGAAGCAGCAGCAGAGGAAGAAAGAGAAAGAAAGAAGATTGAGAGTGAAGCAGGGTCTAGTGGCACGAAGGTGGATAGAGATGCTGAAATAGAGAAGAAGATCAGCGAGTGGGTTGCTAACTTGTCGTTGGGGGAAGATGAGGAGACGGAGTCCTACGTGACTCAGGATGAGAGGCAAGCGCTAGCCAATGAGCTAGCAGCAATGGATGATCCTACGGAAAGGCGAGAACGGGAGGAGGAGCAGAAGTTGGCGTGGAAGTTAAAGGATGGAAAGGGAGAAGAAGAGGAGGAGAGAGGAGGTGAATAAATTGACCGCAGAAGTGGCAAAGGTGCAGGAGTGTAGGAGAGAAGTGGAGGCCCAGCCAGATGACAAGGCCAAATGGGACAAGATATTGGGCTACCTAGAGGTCCTGAGCAAGGCTTGGATGGAAGAGCGACAGGCCAGTTGGAGTCAGGACGTGGCGTTGAGTGCCATGCGGTCCAGATTTAGAGACTTCGCGCGCGATATCGTCACCCACATCGGGGGCGAATTCAAACAAATAAGGGACAATGTAGGGAAATACTGCGAAGGCGCCATTGAAGGTGCCAAAGCGATAGCCGTTGTAGAGGGTGGACCCAGGCCCCGTAAGGAGCCTGTTAAGTTGAAGTTCCCCGATGGCTATGGGGGAAAGAAGGAGGAAAATTTCGATAACTGGGAGGCGAACGTTAATAGTTACATTTATTTACAGCATATCCTGATAGAGGAGCAAGTCCTCGTGGCCTTCTAGGCCCTCAAGGACGAAGCGGCTAGCTTCGCCAGGTCCCTTGCGCGCGCAGCCGGTTGTGAAAACAACCTGGTTGCATATTCCAAAGTCACCCCCCTCTCTCAGTTCCTCAAGCTCCTTAAGGAGCGATTTGCTGACCCAACGCGAGGCGTCAGAGCCTCAGACAAGTTGCAGACAATCCACTCACGACAGTGGAGGATGCTAAGGCACTCAAGGGTACCATGGACGACTTGGTAGCCGTCCCGGACCATGGGGTCACTGAACCCCAGTTGGTCCAGTTGTTTTATCGTGCCATGCCAGAGGCCCTATGCGGGCATTTCTTTGACAAGTCTCAACAGTCCGGCATCACTAACGATGCATTAACCAGAGAAGTCGTCCTGTATGAGTCGAAGTCCATGCCAGTTACCACTTTCTGGCACAAAGACTTGGAGAAGGGGAAAAAGTGGAAGGACCGCACCATCTCAGGCCAAGTCAAGGCCAAGGACCACTTGATCCTAACATTAGAGGAAGGTGGTACGGACGAGGTCCCATATGAACAGATTGAGTGGGGCCTAGGGGAAGAGGACAGTCGTGTGGGACAGGGGAGGTCTTATGCTGTTGTCGCGGCTGGAGGGAGGCCGCAAGGTAGAGGAGGAGGCCAGGGCCAAAGGGGCCAGGCCATGGGAGGCCGAGGACCGTGCGCGCAGGGGGTTGGCGGCCAAGGAAACCGCCAAGCGGGAGGTAGGGGTCAAGGTCCCCCGTCAAATCGCCAAGGTTCATTCCGGTCCCCACAGCGAGGAGGTGGAAKGGCACCTCAAGGTGGATGGCACCCAGGCTTGCCGYAGGGCAGGCCCTGGGAAGATTTGGGCTTGGACCAGCGTATATGGCAACAACGCGTGGACCAGGGTCAGTGCGTATTTTGTGGTGACCCGGGGCACGTAATCAAATTTTATCCCAAGTATAGACAGGCCCGTTGGGCTGCCCAGCAGGCAAAAGGCAGCCGCCAGTAGGGGTCGCAACTGCCCCTACTTCAGCACCATGTGGGGAAGTGAGCGCGCGCGAACAGGATACTCCCAACCCACATGAGTCCATGGCAGAGGTTGCAGGCCCGTGCCTAGCTAGTTGTCCAGAGACCGGTTGTGTTAGCGTCTCTCTAGGCACGTCCCTCACAAGCGTGGCAGATGAGTTGAAAGAGAGGATGCCAGCCTGGGCCAAAATGAAGAAAGAGAGTAAGGGACAGCTGATCTTGGTAGACATAGAAGTGTTTAGAAGAGTAGGGGCCCTCATAGACTCAGGGGCTACCCGTAGTTACATCAGTCGTGCGCTGAAGAAGTTGAGGCTGGGACTAAAAGTCCAGAAATTGGCAGACCCCATAGTCAGTGTCCTCGCAGACAACCGCACCATGCGTGTTGAGGACTATGAAGAGGGAGTCCAGGCTTACTTTCGCCTAGAGAAAGATGGGAAGGTGGAGAAAGTTCTCCATTCCCCGACTCTCCTCGTACAAGATGACCTTCCTTTTGATATAGTGTTAGGAATGGATTGGGGAAAGGCAGCAGGGGCCACACTTCATTTTAGAGAGCATGAGTGTAGGCTCCCTAGCCCGTCAGGCGAAAGTAAGACTGCCCGCCTGTTCCATGTGTCTGGTGTAGATAACACCTAGGCACATTGCTGTCTCAGTGCTCCCGCATTCGCACGATTGGTGAGAAAGGAGCAGTTAGAGGAACAGGTCTTTGTAGTTTATGTTAGATCTGTCACTAAGGCCCAAGAAAAGGATAGTTCCACAAATCCAACAATTGCCAAGCTGCTGGAAGAGTTCAAAGATTTGACTGAGTCGCCGACAGGAGTAGTGCCGCGACCCATCCAGCACAGGATAGAGATAGAGCCTGGCAGTAGAACTCCTAAGGGTGCAGTCTAYAGGATGTCCCCTAGAGAGTTAGAGGAGCTTCGCAAGCAGTTAGATGAACTCCTTGAGAAGGGTTGGATCAGGCCCAGTTCGTCTCCTTTTGGAGCACCAGTTTTGTTTGTCCCCAAGAAGGAAGGAGAGCTTCGTATGTGTATAGACTATAGGGGTYTGAATGCGATCACRGTGAAGAATGCTGAGCCRCTGCCCAGGATAGACGATCTTTTAGATCGGGTGCAGGGTTGTAAGTATTTCTCTAAGATAGACTTAAAGTCCGGGTACCATCAGATAGAAGTCCATCCTCATGATCAGTACAAGACTGCATTCCGGACTAGATATGGGCATTATGAGTTTATAGTGATGCCCTTTGGACTAACCAACACGCCAGCTACTTTTCAGCGTTGTATGAATGACGTGTTTAGACCGTGGTTAGATAAATTTGTAGTACTCTACTTAGATGATATCCTAGTCTTTAGTAAGACCCTTCAGGAGCACCAGGGTCATCTGAGGCAGGTCTTGGAGAAGCTTAGAGAGGCTAACTTCAAGATCAACGCGAAGAAGTGTGAGTGGGCCAAGACGCAAGTCTTGTACTTTGGCCACATATTAGACGGAGATGGCATCAAGCCAGAGGACAGCAAGATAGCAGCGATTAGAGATTGGCCAACGCCCCGCACATTGACAGAGTTGCGGTCATTTCTAGGCTTAGCTAACTACTATAGGAAGTTCGTGAGGAACTTCTCCACTATCGTCGCCCCCTTGCGCAGACTGCTAAGGAACGAGGCAATCTGGCAATAGGATAAAGATTGTACGTCCGCGCTCAAGAAGTTAAAGCACGCATTAATAGAATATCCTGTCCTCAAAGTAGCAGATCCATCCTTGCCATTTGTCGTTACCACGGACGCGAGTCAGTATGGGATAGGCGCCGTGTTGCAGCAAGACGACGGCAATGGTTATAGACCCATAGAGTTCATGTCAGCGAGGATGCCCTGTGATAAGGTTGCTACCTCCACGTACGAAAGAGAACTCTACGCTCTCAGGCAGGCTTTAAACCATTGGAAGCACTACCTACTTGGGAGGCACTTCAAAGTCTATTCGGATCATGAAACGCTTAGATGGTTGAAGACTCAGGCCAAGATGACACCTAAGTTGACYAGGTGGGCCGCAGAGATAGACCAATTCGACTTTGAGCTCAAGCCAGTGAAGGGCAAGTACAACGTAGTTGCGGATGCTCTGAGTAGGAGATCAGACTACTTTGGAGCCGTAGTACACTATCTGGATATAGGGAGAGACCTGCAAGAGAAAGTGAAGCACGCATATGTACAGGACCCTATTTATAGTGACCTCCTAAAGAGAGTTAGAGAGGCCCCAGAGACCGAACCAGCTTACCGCACTACAGACGGATTGTTGTTTGAGAAGACTACTGTGTTTGACCGCTTGTGCGTTCCCAACAGCGAAGAGATTCGTAGTCTGATCCTAGGGGAATGTCACGTTACTGAGGGACACTTCGGTTGGCAAAAGACATTAGCCAACCTGATGCGTGCGTATACCTGGCCAGGGATGAAGAATGATTGCATAGAGTATGTCCGCAGTTGTAAAATGTGCCAGAGGAATAAGCCTACTACACGCGCGCCCCTAGGTCTTCTCAGACCCTTGCCTATTCCGGATCAGCCCGGAGACTCAGTGTCCATAGACTTCATGGACACCCAAGTCAAGAGTAGACATGGTAAGAGCCAAGTCATGGTCATAGTTGACCGTTTTAGTAAATATGCAGTTTTTGTTCCTTTGCCTGCAGAGGCACGTACAGATTTAGTAATACAGAAGTCCTTTGACTTTTGGGTTAGTGAGAATGGAATCCCATTGTCAATAGTTAGTGATAGAGATAGTCGTTTCACCAGCCAGAACTGGCAAGAACTCATGAGAGTCTACGGATCTACGTTGCTAATGTCGTCCGGCCGTCACCCAGAGACGAACGGTCAGACAGAACAGATGAACAAGATCCTACAGCAAGTTTTGCGCATGTACATTAGACCAGATCAGATTAACTGGGATGAGATGTTGCCTAAGGTAGCTAGTGCCTACAACAACAACGTGCATTTATCCACCTGCCGCACTCCCAATGAGTTGCACAAGTCCTTTAGACCGCGCAGACCGTTCGAAGGACTGAACCAGGATCAAATTCACAGATTACCGCCCGGTACCAGGGAGTTTGCGATACAGCACGAAAGGGAGTTAGCCACTGTTGTTGAGAACCTTCGGAAGGCCCAGCACAGAATGATAGAGCAGGCTAACAAGCACCGACGCCCATCACAGTTTCAAGTAGGCGACTTAGTCTGGGTCAAGGCAAAAGAGTTTGCACCGAAAGAAAACATCTCGCAGAAGTTACTGCCTGCATATAGRGGACCGTGGCYGGTTYTAGAAGTCAAGGGCRGAGAGGATGGACCGTCCTAYARCATTGAGATTCCAGCRCACCTCCACRCATACCCTGTGTTTCATGCTTCAAAGCTGCTGCCGTGTGTCACTAGTCAACAGTTCCCTTCCAGGAGATCCATGATCCCACCGGATATGGATGGGAAATATGACATGGAGGGCATTGTAGAAGAGGATGTGTTTAGGATAGGAGGTAGAGGTTGTCCCCAGAAACAGTATAAAGTCCGGTTTGCCTACCAGGAACCGAAAGACGACCGCTGGTTCACGAAAGCATAACTTCTAGAGACTGCTCCCGACATAGTCAGAGCCTATGAGCGTGACAAGAAAGGTAAAGGTCCCGCCTTGGATTGAAATGTTCTCGGAGGACCTCGAATTTAGGACGGCAGGAGTGAAACGGTTTTTTACCTTTTAGCAGTAGCAGATGCAGTGCCCAGGGTTCGATCCCTAGACCTCACCCTACCTATGTACAGTATCTGTATAACCT